ACTATACTATACAGTAGAGTCCATTCTATGTTTCTATGTGTAAACTAAAAGATTACTGTCACGCATTCTACACACTCTCACAAACGTCAACGCATTCCCAAGCGCACCCACTCAAACAGACACTCACAGTGCAACTAATCTTCTTATCGCCTTTCACCTATGTCACTCACTATTTTTAACCCTCTGCTTTTCCCTGACAATCACTCACTATTTCGGATTCTCCCTAGAGCTTCCTAGTGCGCGCACCCTCCTTGTTTTGCTTTTTTTATACCTTACTTCCTGACACTCGCTCAATTCTGACCACGTCTCTGCCTTTGCGTTTTTGGATTTGTTGCCTCGCTGTATTGTCTCTTCCCGATTTTGACTCTCGCCTGCCCTTTGGATTTTGGGTATTATGACTTGTTTTTTTTTTTGGTAGCCTTTTCTATCTGGGTTTCCTATTGCTATTCGGGAAATAAGCCTACCTGAGCCCTGCACATGGTCCTTATTTTTAGCATTCATAATTGCTAACAATTACAGTAAAGAACCATTAAGTTGAGCACTTACTGTAGATGTAATTTAACTTTAATTTGAAATGCTTGTTTGAAAACACTAAGACTTTAAAAAATAACAATGAATGAGAAAAAGCCTTTGAGTGATTTTGTGGGTATAAGTGAGTGATGAACCACATTTATAAACATTAATACATTTAAATTTACATAATTTTAACTGAAGGTTAGGGAGTTTTTAAATCCACAGTCACAAAAAGTCAATGGTGTAAAAGTGGGGTGATGTCAAGCAGGGATCCCCTGTAAAAACCTTCAGATTAATGTCGCTGCTTAATTCCGATGCTGTGGAGCTGATGGCAAAGGTGCTGAATATTCTCCAAGTTCAGACCAGCACACAGAGGGAAATTTTGCTGCCCTTTGCCCTGACCTGGCTGGAGTGCATTTATACACACATCTGCTGTATGAGACCTGTCAGAAATAACTGTTGTACAAGATGGCTCAGAAGTAACAGAAAGGCAGGGATAACATTATCAGGAATAGCGAATGTGCCATTAGTGGGAATATTTTGTATTAATCCATTATGATTAATAATGGTCACTCATAGTTCCCCATTTATGGTAATAACACAAAGTGAACATGACTGTACACAGACTCTAAAATCCACTGTAACACTACTGGAGTTCAGGACACTGTGGAGGATTCACCTTATGCGTCTTTTCTCCCAGTGTTCTCTGGAAATATTATTTTTTTGTCACCAGTTAAACTCATCTCAAACCTTCTCTAAACTGTGCTATGACTCCTTGAATCCCTACACAGCCATCATCACCAAATGTTCTGTAGACAAAGATGCAACACATAGGTGCTGACATGAACTGAGCAGGTTTATTTTCAACAAGCACACATGGAAAGTCATACTTGTATGAAAAACTCGGTCTCCTTATACCTGCCCTACAGGCACTTGAACACTGTGCAGTAAATATACACAACCACAATCTTCCAACATAACAAGTCCTACAGCACTGTATCCCTGTGCTCCAGCAGCATGCTGGGATTGTTTGTAAATCCTGGTTCAGCAGCTCCACTGACAGCAGGAACCTGGTTTTCCTTGGAGGTCTCCCACTGCTATACTGATCTGGCCTCAGCTTCTGAGATCTGATGAGACCAGACTACATGGGGACAGTTCTATTGTTTGAGTGCAATATAAACAAACAACACATGTACAAACTTCTTATTTAATGTGGACTGTAGTTCAAGACCTGTCAACTGACAGCTAGTTTTAGATCTTTCATTCTGTCAGAGTAAAATACTGATCAATTACTTTCAAATATACAGAATTGCATTGTGTAAGCTCTTGTGAAACACTACAGAATTTAAAAAGATAAAAACTGATTTGCTCAGCCTTCATTACTCCAGATGTCATGAGCACTGTGTCAGGGTGTGTTGTAATTGTGAATAAATTCTGTTCAATGTTTAAAGAGTAGGCAAAAACTTTGGACAGTAC